CTACGACGCTACTCTGGAGCCAACAAGCACCGCCTCTAAATAAAATCTCCCTTAAAATCACAAGAAAAAAATTGTTTGGAGGTGCATGTGGGTTCACTGCTGCTCTCCCAGCACAGAAAGTGCAGTAGGGTATGAAAGTGGCATGATGAGCAGTGGGTACATTCAGCAAAGGGATGGGCTTAAAGGAGGCAGAGGGGTTATATTAACAAATCATAATAAGGGCCGTGCCACGGGTCCCTCCAGGCTGGGGGAGTGAAGAAAGGGAAAAAAAAGAGCTACTGTGTGGAAAATCAAGTCGTTGTCACTGCACTTGTCGACTCAAAGAGTGTCACTGATCCCCACAGTTTGCCTTTTATTTATTTATGAGCCACATAAAAATATGGATTTATGGCGGCGTGTAAGATGTGGGCCCAATCCTCGACCGTGAACACCTGTTATTACGCATATATTACACTCCAATAAGACCACCTCAGGTAATAATTGTGATCTTGTAAAATCTGAATATAATTATAAAGCTGTAACAAATCAAAAAACAAACGCCAACAACAAAAAAGAGAGAATATGAACGTAACTGTCTTAAGTAATACAGAAAGTGAAAGCTTGGCTTGCCTGTACACGCCGTCCTTGCAGGAATAATGGTGAATTAGCTACTTATTACTACTTATATTCATGACTTATACAGCCTTACCAGAGGCATCTGTTTTGGCACCAATATCTCTTATTGGCTTTTACACTTTTTAATTAAAGGTGGCGACAGTTTCCATTTTTAAGCCTTGAATAGTACCAACAGCCCCAGTGCGCAAATTGTAAAAAAGGAGCAAATATTTATTTTAAGCTGCTGATAAGGAGCGAGGGGATCCCAGGCCTTGTGCTGCATGCGCCCTCCATGCGGTGCCACTCAGGCCACTCATTTAAATATATATATATATATATTACCCTACGCATGATGTAGCATCCCGTCTCTTTTGTGTGTGCGCACGGATGGGTGTGTTTGGGAGGGAAGCACGGCTAAACGTAAGGCGAATTTCAAACAAAGGCTGAAATGTCAGTGAAAGGTTGTGGCTGCAGGGCTCGTGCATGGATGTGTAGTCCTTCTACCTACACTACCGAAGAAGGGGGAGGAGCCTCGTGCTTACAGCAGCTGAGTGTTTCTACATGTGACTGGCCTGTGCCTTGGAACATTACTGCCACCCCACTGTAGTGGAGATAGTGCCAACAGCAGCAGTACTGACCATCCCTGCCCTGTTTACGTCAGTATGCGAACAGAGGAATGTCCAAACTGTGGCCTATTTACAAAACAAGCTCTTTAGTTACTTTCCTAGGTGACCTGCTAACACAGTTGTCTTGGGTCTTTACGCTTAGAGATCAGAATCACCATTCAAATAAGTCATTAAGTCGCTTTAAACGCATTAATAGCTACTTTATTAATGTTACCACTGCCCATGATCAGTATAGAAGTCATAAAATCACATCCATGCGCCGCATTTGCATTTCCCCGTGAAAAGCAGGGTTTGTTTACATGTGTTCTTTTTATGTGTTATGCCCAATTAGGTCAGTGTGCTGACAAATCACGCCAGCCACCCAAAAATTATTTCCACTCTGAGGGGAAAATTGAGCTGAGAGTGGAAGGGATGTGACATTTGGGGAACGTGCTGAGAACTGCTGAACAAAACTCACTACACACATACTGCACATGTAGACTTGTGGTAGAATATGGAAATAAATAGGCTTATGCACTTTCCAAGGTGTGGTCACTGGTTGCTGGTGTCTTTCTGCTGGTCTTCCCCTTTTTTGGTAGTGAAAAAAAAAAAGAACATCTTTGTGAATTTTTCTTGCTTCTAACTTGCATTAATTTTTACGGTATCCTTGCCCAACACTGTTTTATTTATCATTTCTAACATCTTTTACTTTAATTCAAGGTTTAAAGTACTAATTTATAAATTATGGAAGTTACAATGCTCCCTTGCAAAGTATTTAGTTTTATTAATTTCAGCACTAAAGCCACAAAAGTCCACAATATAAACTGTTGAATAGGGTTTGGGGTAAAATAACCATTCAAATCAGAGCTGAATTTAGTGATATCGATATATATTTAGTGAATCTAGAGTATTGTTGTATCTTCTGTGTGTCTATTACAGGGTCAATTTCTTGCTTGGTTGTGCAGTAAACCAAAGTGTAAAGCATCCATTTACTCAGTGAAACTCAAACAGCTGGAGGGCATCAAATACATCAGATATGTCTAATTTTAAGATTTAGAATTTTTAAAAATTGTCAATATCTCCACCGTGGGAATCTAATTAATTTTATCAGTTAATCACCCAAATTCTGGACAAAACCAAAAATAATTTGAGGTGCTTGTGCGCAGTGCACCACAAATGAAGTCATTTCACCTCAATGGTCTTGGCGTGAAGCGAGGAATCTCAGAACGGATATTGCAAAGCCTGGACAAATAAAACAAAAATTATCTGCATGGCTTGATCTCACTTGAGATAAGAGGGGGGATTGTGTTTTTTTAATAATTTGGGTGAACTGACCCTTTGAGTAAAGAAACTGCCTGTTTTTACAAGACATGAGCTCTGCCTCTCCGCCTCCCCCTCTCCTCTCTGGCAAAAAGGGAAAAACTACAATAAGCAAAGAATCCAACAAGTAATTTTTCCATGTAATGTACTGTATGTCATGGATACAGATTTGGACCATTTGTGACCAGCAGGGGTAGATGTTGGACTTTGCTTTCCTGCAGCTAGGTGCTACTCCGAGGCTCTTGCTTCACCTTGTGGTGAAGGTTTAAACAGTGTGCTTGGTGTAACTGACTTGATTTCACAGTGGCTGTTTAGCTGCATTTAGTCACGGATCAATTTTCCTCAAAACCACGTTAAAAAAAAAATCATAAAGCAGTCCAACGACTCACCTTCTTCTGACATTAAATAAACGTTTTCTATGGCTATACAAGGCGAATCTATTGTGGACAAACCTGCTGTACAATTTGGTAACCTTTGACCCTCAACAAAGCAGGCTGGAAAATGATATTGATATTCTAGTCTTACTGACAACCTGAAGCACTTTACGCTGCCCACCACATTCATAGTTTTCAGGCTATTCATGCAGCACTTTAATCCTGTATCTACAGCCAGTTTAGAAGCACCAATTAGCCTGATAGTACTCCAGCTTTTTATTGCATTGGGAAACTGCCTCAAACCCTTATTTATTATCAATCATTAACAATTTAAAAAAAAAAAAAAAGGATCCATATGTAATTTAATGTTAATAAGGGTCAGCATGATTGCATAAACAAACTCCTCTTTGTGTATTTTTCTCCTAAGCAATCATATTCATTTTAGATCATTCCCCTGGTTGACTTAAAACCTAAAGTTTGCATTGAAGAAGCGGATTTATCTGCAAACAGTCCCCACTTGCTGTCTAAGTTGTAGTGAAACTTGGAAATTGTGTAATGGAAACCAGAAACAGAGACTATTCACTTTCAAAGAAGAAGTTGTACATTACTGCTGCAACCAACAGATGTCAAAAGGTCCAACTTTAGGCCATTACACGGCAAGCATGTTGCAAAAAAGTGACACGAAAGCCCAGATTTTTCAGTTCTGAATTGGTCAATCCATCCATCCTCTACCGTTTAACTGGGTTCAGTTTGTGGGTGCAGCAGTCTGAGCAGAGAAGCCCAGACACCTCCAGCTCATCCGGTGGGTCAGGGTGCATGCCTGGCTACTTGTGATTGCTGTGGTTATCTGCAGTTTGTATGGTAGAAGCTGAATTATCTGCAAACATTCACCATTTGTTGTCAATCCAGGAGGTATCCTAGTCAGATGCCTGAATCACTTTAACTGGCTCCTTTCAACGTGGAGGAGCAGCTCTATTCCGAGTCCCTCTTGAATGACCGAGCCCCGCCACTCTTCAAAGGAAACTCATCTCTCCCACTTGTATCCGCGACTACATTCCCAGAGCTTGTGACCATAGGTGAGGGTAGGTACGTAGGGGGACTGGTTAATCGATAGCTTAGCTTCTATACTCAGCTCTCTCTTCACCACAACACATCTGTTCAGCATCTGCATCACTGTGGACGCCATCCCAATCCATCTGTCAATCTCATGTCCCACTCTTCCCTTACTCTTGAACAAGACCCCAAGACACTTGACCTCCTCCACCTGCACGGGAATTAGCACATCCAAGTCCAAGACCATAGATCTCAGATAGAAAATGGTATAGTGCCAGCTATGGGTGAGGGATGAGTTACTACCCTAGGTGGAGGAGGTCAGAACTTGTAACGTATAAACATCAAACACGTTGCGTTTCTGCTGAACATCTGTCCTCCAAAAACACACTGTTGACACCAAGCAACGATGAGCAGATCCTGATGTTTCTAACCAGAAAAGGGAGAAACTGAAATTCTGGATTCATTACTTTGATTTCAGAGAGCCAACTGACCCAGAGAAGCATCTAGCTGTGTTTGAGGTTTAAAAACCCCCCAACAAAATAGTATAATTTTACCATTTGTATATTCAGCACAGAAACGAGTTTTAAGCTATGCTTGTTGTCAAACGAGTTGTCTAACTGGTCAGATCTGTTTACTCTGGTCTGAAAAGTTAGGGGGAAAATAAATTAAAAAGTTCCAGCTTGTTTAAAAAAAATAACAAATCCATCCAGCTAAACGTGGTCGGCATGAACAGCTGCAGTAAGGAAAGGACGAGGCCCGAGTGCTTGAGCTTTTAACAGGAAGATTAAAATACTTTTGTGTTTTACTATTTCATCAAAGCAGTTTTATTCCTGATGTCATCCTCACCCACTTGACACTATACAAAGCCCTCCAGAAAATTTAACTTAACTCAAATCAATAGAAATGCCTTGCACAAATTCTGTAGAAAGAATATGCATAAATATCATAAAGTCAAGGCTTTAATATATTCATGTCAGCATTACAACTATCTTGCAAATGCAATAGTCTATTGTAAAAGGCATAAAAATACTGCGAGGAAGGACACGAGTCAAGGTGGGAAAAACAGATCTGCTTTTTAATCTGCTCCACTATACAACAAAAATCTGACATGAGTATAACATTTACAACAGGCGTTCAAAACATGAAAGCACCGCTTCATAAATTTACTATACTTTTGTATTTTAAGCAAAAAGATGTTTGATGATTACAGTAAGAAAGATGTACTCTGAAGTTAATCATATCTGTCTTTACAAAACATAACAACCCCCCACAAAAAAAAAAAACAAACAAAAAAATTCTGCACGTTTGGGAAGATAAGGGGACAGAAGCCTTCAATATCGACCTGTGAAACAAAACAGGGTAATTAAATGACACAATACAACATGCTGGATTCTTCAATAAAAACTTCTGATACTTTATTGAAATGACTTACGGGGAGAATAAGACCGTGACCTCGATCGAGACCTGTAAGCGCCTCTGTAGTAAGGTGAAGGAGATCGCCTTCTAGAGGAACAAAGACCGTTTATCATTTTTGTCAGTGTCAGGGGGATAAAATAAAGAACAGCAAACCCAAATACGACACGATGAGAATAAAGTAACCGCTGATATCCTTTAACAGTCACCTGTATGATCTGTAGTAGTCCCTGTCATCATAGCGGTCGTATCCACCTCGGTCATATCCACGATCGTATCCACGGTCGTAACCACGGTCGTAGTCACGTGAATAGCGTCGGGGACCGCTTGGGCCGCCTCCTCCGCTACACAAAAGCAATAATATAAGATTTTTCACGCTACACAAAGCGTACTTTTGCATTATTTTACTGTTACATTCTCACCTCCAATTAAAAAGATTTAAAAGAAGGTTTTTGGTGCAGCATTATATACCTCTTTTTCACAAATTTCACCTAGCAACTGCCAGAACCTACTTGCTTACACTGTTCTCTAGTTACCTGTGGTTATCAGGAGGTCACTGACTAGACTCTAGGGCTGTGTGACTGAGACCTTAGCAACCACTAGCCAAGAGGTTGGAGAAAGCCTTTGAAGAGGTTAGTTGTGTCATTTTTACCATTAAAATCTCTGTGTTCATTTTAGGTTCAACTGGATACAACTTATGACACGGGGACTAATTTTGTAAGAGCCTGTTTCTATTTTCTTTTTTTCCTTTACTGTTGACTGATTAAATGTTGAATAAAAACACTACTTTTCAGGTTTAGTAACACTAAGAATTTTATTTCAGATGCTTTGATGTGTCCATAAGTTAGAGCTGTCTTATATTACAAGCATTTTCACTGTGTCTTTGTTTAAAAACATATTTAATTATTCCACACCAAGAGATTGCTTACTATGTGGGCCGGCCCATGTAAATTCCAGGTGTTGGGGTGTGAGGTCTTTTTGTGATGGAGAAGTCCACCCTGATTGTACGCCCGTCCAGCTCCATGCCATTGGCTCGCTCCTTCGCCTGAAAGTGAACATAAATTACACTTGCAGTCCTAGAGGATATTTTAAGTATAGGTGTGGCAGGCGGGTTTATTTATTATTGTTCGTGTACCTCTTTGGCATCATCTGTGTTCTCGAAATACACAAAAGCAAAGCCCCTGGAGCGCCTCGATTGCTGGTCATACACAATGGAAACATCCTCCAGGGGGCCGTATTTGGAGAAGACGTCCCTCAGATCCCTCTCTGTGGTGTACAAGCTCAGGCCAAAGACTCCCAGGCAGCAATTCGGATCTGGATTAGCCTGCAAATTTGAAAGGTTTCAAGATTTGGATGTGATCATTTTCTCATTAAACGCATTCATTAAACCAATACATCCTCTGTTTTTAGATATCACACATTGCTAAGCACATACACGGTTGCCAATGTGCCTCCGACGATTGGACATGGGTGAATGGCTGTGGCTTCTGCGCCGACGCTCTCCGCTGTAGGACCTACTGTGAGATCGGTGATGATAGGACCGTGATCGGGAGCGGGATCGGCTGTAGTGTCTCCGTGAGCGGTGGGAATGTGACCTATAGAGAGCGAGAGAAACAAACAACCCATATTCATACGTTCTCTGGCAATTTTCATGTGATTCCACAAATTTACATTTGTCTTTATGAAAATTATAGTATGGACTAAAAAAAAAAAAAAAGCATGAAATATTTAAAATAACTGCCAAAACATCCCAGACTCTAGTGAAAAGTAACCCCACTTACCACTGTCACAATCTCTAACACTAAACCCTCTGTGACGTCAAATTTCCAACAAGGCTTTGTTGACATTGTCGCAAACTTTTGAAAAACGACAATTTACTTTGGATTTCTGTGCAACTTAAAGTTTCTGTCAAAAATACACCTGGTGCTGTATTGCTGAATGACAGCGCTGCCCCTGCGCTGCCCCTGCACCTTACAAACAGAGTAAAAAGTCTCTCTCCTGTGAATGGAGAAACAGAATGCACAAGTCAAACGTCTTGTTGGAGGTACTTTAAGCTGCTCCCTTATTTCCCAAGGGGCTGCCACAGTGTGGATTGATCTGCATGTTTGCTTTAACACAGCCCTCCTATTTATCCAGGCTTGGGACCACCACTAGGAGTAATAATATTAAAGAGATGAACAGGTGAAATATTTTTTAATAGCCTAAAAGTAATAAAACAGTCAGAAAACAGGTAGAAGTGCACACAGTCTAATGGATGAAACACTGCACACAGAAATACTGTGTATGTATTTAAGAGCTATTTAAAACCATTACTCACAGTCTTCTATAACCACATCATATTTAAATGTTGATGAAATGTGTGGCACTTTGCATCATGTAAAACACGCACAATGTCAGATTAATTTGCAGCGTGTGGCTAAACCTAGCGATGCTAGTTAAATGCCAGTTTCCTGTGCCGTAGCCAACACACAAACCTTCTGTTTTCTAAGATCAAAGTACTGCAAAACCCGCCGGCTCGTGCCTCTTTCGCTTGGTAACAACTTCCTGTCACAGAGATTGAGAGTGAGAGATAGGGACAGGCTCTCACCTGCTGGGGCTGCAGACAACTACGTAACATCTGAGACTGAACCGTTAAGCTGCGTTGTGCCTCAATGAAATATGAACATATAGTTTAACTGAATAGTGTTTGTTGTCAACCATCAAGAGCTGCAACATTTAATTCCCCACTGAAAATTTGCACTGAAAGTGTAAATTTTACTTGCATGGTCCGATCTACTGACATTGTCACTGCGTTTGTAGCACAGTGACCAGGACACTCATTCACACATGACGCAGAAATTGGCAGACAATGCAGATGTAAATGTCTTTTTTTTGTTTGTTTGTTTGGGGTTTTTTTCAACAACTTGGAAGTGAAACTCTTGAACTTTTGCAAGATTTGTCAATGGCCAGAGAAACGGAAGAAGTCAGCTCCACAGAGAAGTCCCCTATCTGGGTTTGAAGCCAGGATTCTCTTGCCGTGAAGCCCTGAACAGGATGGGTATAACATGAAAGTGGCCATATTGAGTCTGTTGATCGATAGTAGAGAATTTTATGCCAGTCTATTACTCACCAAGATTTTGACCTTGACCGAGAGCGAGATTTGGAGCGGGAGCAGTGGGAGCCTCCTTTTGAGTGGGCAGGGGATTGAGCTGGGGACTGGCTCCCCGACTTCCCAGAGCCCCGTGGGCTCACGCTCCTGGATGCAGAGCGAGACTCCTGAACGAACCACACACATTTTTTTTATCAGCACCAATGAAGTGATCAACACATACATTTGCCAAAATATTACTGTGTATTTAAAAATTAAGACTATCCTGTGAAAAGTACAGGAAGGAAACTGAATTTAGGGTTGTGAAATAGGAGTGCTGTGTAGTCATGGATAATATGACATCAATATGTTTACATTAATAAGTTGTTAAATAGTGGGGAAAAAAAGAAAATTGTCAGTTGTGAGATAAAATTGCAATGATTTAAACTAATGTGTGTGTATTGAATAAGAAGAACATGCACGCATTTGACAAACAGACCAGAAATTTACTTAGCGCAGTGACCTTATCCAGATTACTTCCTTAACTTCATTTCTGTAACTTCATTACTTGACATTATTCTTCTTTCTTCAATTGTCTTACTTCTTCTTACTTCCCCATCTCTCACACACTGCCCATACTTCTTCCCTCCTCATGTTTTAGCATGCATTCAACAATTCAGCTTCACACATCTGAGCTTCATATTATTGAAAATAAAGTGGACTTCTTCCGTATTTTCTTCGTCCAACCTTAACCTTTATGAAAAAGAAAAGGATGAAGAATATATGACTGCAATTAAAACTGCACGCTCATTCAACGTTTAATGTGGTATTATTATTATTATTATTATTATTAGTAGTAGTAGTAGTAGTAGTAGTAGTAGTAGTACGAGCTAATGACATTAATGGGAATGTTAAAGACCACATTATACATACTGTCAGTGTTTTTATTAACATTCACGCTCAGTGGTTTTGCTTTCACTTTTGTGTTTTTCTGGCCACTTTTCCTAAGAACTTCCTCAAAAACAATTTGGAATAATTGAGAGGTAAAACCGGGGGTGATCATTTTTTAAAAATTACAACTAAAACTGAAGGGTAAGGATGTGAAGGTAACTTCTTGTCATTCCCTTTGCCTTCCTTTAACAATATATTTTCCCAAATGAACCCTTCTTACATAATTTCTGACAAATGGCCTTTAAGTCACCATAGTGTTCATCAAACCACTGACTGTGAATATTTTATAATCAAGATTAAAACTACCAACACTGTCTCCATTTTTTTAAGTGGATAACTCCAAAATAAAGTGTAAAATTTGCTCCAACGACCTCAAGATGTAGCAGCCACTCATTTGAGCAGCCCTTAAAACCTGTTCTGGAAATGCAAAGACAGAAGACTGTTGCTATCTGTTGCGATTACATAATATATTGAAAACCTTAAAGATTAAATATTAGCAAAAAAAAAAAAGGAATCCAATAAGAGGCAAAAAAACAAACAAACTTGTTAGTTAAGCAACAAGCACCCAGCACCTTGCAGGAACTAATACAAACCAGTTCAAAATATGGGTTTACATGCAGAAAATAAATTCTTCATTTCTTTTTTCTTAATCTGCCATTTACCCTCCCACATGGGAACACAGGGCATATCACACACCCATTAAACAGACAGAAGCATTCAGGAGCTGTGCAAGGTGAGGGGATATTAAACAGTTCACTACAGGAAGGATATTACTGCACACAGGTCAGTCAGCCCAGCAAGTATTAATCAAACTTATCCATAATGCTGGTGCTTGTGGCTATCAGCTTTAACAGTTTTAAGATGGTGTGGGAGAGCTGCATGAGTTAATAAAAATGATTTTTTTTATTTTATTTTATTTTTTAAAAAAAGGTCAAATCTTGAGGTCGTTAGTTTTGTTTTAAATTGTTGTTGTGCCTAAGAACTAAGGAAACCCACAATGACATTCAAAGATTAATAACCAGCAGACGTAACATGATATAATTCAATCCGGGGAACGGGGGGGAAACAAAACAAAAACAAACAAACGAACAAAAAACAACATCAACAAAACAGCGAAAATATAACAGTTCGTTAGGCAAATGTCTTCCACTGAATCCGCGACGACATGAAATATTTATTTTGGTTTCTACGCACAATAATCAGACGAATCAGACGAAGAAAATTACTGAGTTTTAACAATTTAAAAACGTTATAAAAATGTTTGCCGACATTGCAGTGTTTTCAGTGCAAACCCCGGCTCGTAAACAAAAAAGCACCAGGCCTAGCTTTCATCTATAAGCTAGTCTTAGCCAGGTAGCTAAAGATGAACTAAAAACTCGCATCCGTTGCGCATAAAGTCGCCTTTTATTGTTTAAATTTGTGCAATTTATGTTCTTTCTAAAACCCAGCTTTCGACCAAAGAGTTGTGCCAACAAGGTAAGCTGGGTACTACTAGCCAACAAAATATGAATAAGGTTGTTACCGTTACAATTTCAGTTACCCTGTCAAACCCAAGGATTTAAAATGTTTAATGCATTACAAACGGTAATAAAATGTATACGTACCCGGCCTTTGTCGTTATCGCTCATTTTTGAAATTTAATCTATTGTTGACAGATACTCTACAATCTACACTACACGGTCTCAGTGTGTGAGACTCTAGCTCCACCCCCAGGTCTGCATCTAGAAAGATCCAGCAGTCTCGGGGCTGGCTATCGCGTTTTTACGTGCCAAACACGAGATTTGGTTTCGTGTAGAATTTCCCCCAAGAGGCCACGTGAGAAACTCGGAGTGTTGTGAAACAAGCTGAACTTAATTCTGCACGATGTTAATTTTTTTTTTTAAATTTCTTTTAAAACTGGTACGGGTAGGAGTAGATGTAACAGTTAGGCAATGAAAATGTGAAATAGGCACAGCAAATATGCCAACATTTTTATCACAATTTAATCCAAAAACAACAGTAAACTTTTAACTTTATAGCAAGTCCTGTTGCTATTTTGCTTGTAGTTTAGTTACTTCATCAGCACTTTTTCAGTTCTTTTAATTTTTTTTGCATTTCTTCTGTGAGAGAAATATAGTCTATTTTGTACAATGCCAGCAAATAGAAAAACTCTGTGATAGAAGGTGAATAAAAAAACAAAACAAACACACATACAACTGAAATAGCAAAATAAAAATTAACACAAAAGCTCACAAAACACAATGGAAGTGATTGAGGGAGACAGTAATGTGACAAAACAACTGGGGAAATGAAAGAAACCAAAACATGCAAACTCTGCACTAATCCTTATTAAGGAAATATAAGTATACACATTCCCTGGCCACTTTATTCGGTATACCTGGTCAACTGCTCTCTAATGCAAATATATAATCAATAAATGGCACAACAGCAACTCAAAACATTTAGGCAAGTAGACATGGCAAAGACAACTTCCTCAATTTCAAACTGAGCATTAGAATGGAGAACAAAGATAATTTAAGTGACTTTGAATGCAACGTGGTTGTTGGTGCCAGAGGAGCTGATTTTAGTATTTCAGAAACTACTAATTTACTGTTATTTTTTGCACATTTCTATGGTTTATGGAGAATTTAAAAATTGAGTGGCAGTTTTCTGGGTGAAAACACCTGGTAACTCAAAAAAACACTCATTACAACTAAAATGCAGGGGCTCACCAAAACAAGATCAGCTCCTTGTTCAGTGTATATGGCATAAAAGATTTATGCAGCTTTAAAGGGAAAAGAAGGCTCAATCTTTTACTAGGAAGGTGTAAATAATGAAGTGGCCAAGAAGTGTACATAAGTAAGTGTTAGCTTAACACTACAATAAGATAATTGGCAAGTTTTGCTTAATTCTACAGTGAGTGGTGCATAAACTCCCAGACATTATGTAGCCTGGCAGAATGCACAGTTTAATGCTGCAGCAGCGTAATATCGGCACCCTTAAAAGCTACAAAAAGAGAGTGACATGTGTTAGTTTCTCTAGGGGGTGGCACCATTGTTATTGAAGTCCCCATTGCATATATAAAATCCTAATATATTTATCCATCAAGAAGAGGGAAACTTGTCAGACATTTACAGCAGTGAAATTGTGAAAGTGAGTAAAATTAACCCAGAAGTGAAATTCATATTTTTCCATCGATTTATACTGTGGCAGGTGATGTGCTAAAAATTAACCATACTGCTGATTTTGCAGTTTGCATAGTTAACTTCACCAGGGCAAGAGCAGTGAATCACACAGTTTGTTGCACTTTTCATTCGGTTTTGAGCACTTCAGGTCAGTATCACTGCTAGTTTTTATTATCTCAAAGAGGAGATCATTTTAACACATAAGGACACATGCTCAGAAGACATTGGTTCTCTTTCTCAGGGATGAAGTTCAACAAATCCAGACACAGATCTTCTCTCAGTGAAAATCACCTGTCCAGTGTCTTTTCCATTTGTACCTGGGACATTAATGGACTTGCTCAAGTCCAAAACTACAGCGGCCCTGAGAGATCAGAGATATCAGCTTACTGTGAAATTAAATGTCAGTGACTTTGGTTACTTCAAAATGGTAATATGTTGAACATCTTGTTTACCAGCTCTTGACAAAAAAAAATTTGCCTAATAACATCCACTGTTTATTTTTCACATATGTGAAGTTTATACGGTTTTCATTTCACGTATGTAAGTGCGAAATCATTTACTCTACTTTTACACCTGAAAGCAGTGTCTATTTTTTACAACTTGTAGTCTGTCTCTGGAAAATAAAAATAAACCATTAGCCATTTTTTATTTTTTATTTTTAATTTAAAGTAAGCAGAAGATAGACAAGAGCCATAAAATAGATTGGAGATCGGATACAATGATGTTACTGGCATCAGCGGGCACTTAAAACTGGTGAGTTTTGTTTTTGGCACTTTATTTATACTAGAGAAATGCAGCCTTTAGTTGTTATCTGGTAATTTATAACACCCCACGGCAGAAGGTCTTGAATCAATAAAAGCTCAAAGTGCAGACTAGACAGTGAAAATAAAATATACATTGCTATAGACTCAGGTTAAACCACTGTCGCCCAGATTATCATCTCAAGCTGAGAAGTTGTAATAAACTATTTGTGACATCTGGCAGGACATTACAGCAGAGGTTTCTGGATCCAGTTAGTCATCGGTAGCTATAGTGAGAAACAGAGAGGAAATCCAGTCAGTCCTTTTCAAGTTTTTTTCTAACAACTGTCAGTTTACTGTATAAATCTACCAACCGCAGTTATAGAGGATATTTATTTTATGAAGATCCATTACGCTAGGACCATCTCGCTGGCCGATGGGGATATAGGGATCTGGTTTGGGGATTATTGTTGGTCCGCCATCTTCAGAGAAGGCATATCTGTATCAAAGATGCAAAACATATATAATACAGTGATGCCCGAGTCTAAATGACAGATAATCATGTTGAATCAGAGAGCAACTCACCGTCCATAATGCATGACAGAGCTGTAGTCATATGGGCTGTTGAGATTGTTTGTCACCTGTTTCCTGAAGTTATGTATGTGCTCTGCCAAAAACAAAAAAACCAAAACACCTTCACACTCATTTTGTGAAAAATCGAGCCACTGCAATTAGAATGACGTAGTGATAAAACGTGCGAACCTGGCATGATGTTTTTCCATATAATTGTGACATAGTTGTCACGGTCTGATCGGGATTGCTCGTGTACGAAGCCGAGAGCATGCATGAATTCATGAGCAGCGATTCCCGACCACATGCACCCAGGAGTCTGCAGTGACAGGGTCTGGCTTCCCCCAGTCTGCCCCAGAAATGACCAGCAGCTAGGGAGGGATGCAGAGCACAAATTCTACGGTATGTACAATCATCACGGCACACTGTAAGAAGCCATAAGCAGGAGTCACGCTCACCCATATCTAGGCTGAACGTCAAGGAAGTTGCCTTCGTGAGTGCGGGGAACAAATTTAACGCATGTTCCAGCGGAAATGTCTTGCATTCCAGTTTCTATGGTGATTCTGTCCATGTCGTCTAAAGTTAGGGTGAAAGAACGCACAAAAAAGGCAAAATATGAAATAATAAAGGGATATAAGAAACCGGAAGCATCTCCTTAAGTCTTAAAGCTTCATACCATACCATACAGTGGAGAGATGATGTAGGGTACATAGACAAATCCATCTACAGATTTAGGCCACAGACAGGTGTTGCCGGGGCAGGTTATGGCACTCCTTACATGAGAAACAGCAATATCGCCGTCCCTTATTGACATTCCTCTTGGGGCTCGTATCTCTGATGAGAAAATACATTCTTTTCAATATGCAGGGAAAAAACTGACATCAGTACAATTCTATGTAATTTACAGTTCACTTACTGCGATTGACCTCCAGGATTTGATCCATTGTGGTCATTTCATCATGCTCTATATTTTCCTCTGAACACAAAAATAAATATGGAATAAACAGAAAATCACTGTGAAAATGCAAGATGAGGTGCAAGGAATCGTGACCCACCAGAGAATTTCCTTTTCAACCTCACTTTCCCCTCGTGCACACCAGTCGAATTCTGTCGCACAAAAAATGTTGACATATTTCAGCTGCAAAGCATGACAAGACGAGAAAAAAGGAGTCTATATACTCCTCTTAATTATATACTTACTTTAACAGGTATTGTGTTCGCCTGAGTCAGCAAGCCAAACAAGATAACCAGAAGTATAATGGAAGAATGCATTGTTGTGTTTCAGGCTGGTTCACCAGTTTCAATCCAGCGCTCTCCTGATGCAGGAGCTAAATGAACTCCTCACCTCCGCTGAATCTATATACCCACTTCTCCTCCGCTGCTCTGTACTGATTGGGCCTCAATTCAGATGATGAAGCATGATTAAGATGCCTCATCATGCGGTGTGTGTAATTTACTCTAAATCCACTGCTGATCCATAACGGGTGGGCCTGATGCTGACCTTCACTTATGCCCTGTACTTATTGCGTGCAAGATTCAGCACTTTCAGAAACAAGGCACTTAAAGGTGTTTTTGCTGTCCGAGTTCAGCCCGACAGACCAGCAATTTGTGTCTGACTGAGCTGGCAACTAGTGATTTTGTGATATGCTATCAGATGATAACTGTCTTGGCAACGGTCATTTTTTGTCACACAGTTAAATATATAAAAACAAAACTTTATCCTTTTCCAAATATTGCTTCTATTCTTATCAAGGGGCTAATTTTGAAGGGCAGTGACGAAGCGAAGATTCTCATGTGTCAGCACTTTATGAAAACTTCCCTCGTGGTGATTGGACGAACAGAAGAAACTACTGCATCTTGAGTTAAGGTAGCACATTTTTAAATATAGAGAACATGTCTATTTATTACCAGAGACTTTGTTCTTTAACCTTCCTCATTAAAACAGATTCAGATCTCCTGTTTAATGTGATCAAGTCACCCGTTCTAAGATTCTTCACATACCTTATTACCCTGCCTCTGCTTTATTACTCTTTATCTCTTATTGATCTGTAATATTACTGTTGAGTGCATTACCACGTGTCTATTTCAAACCAGGCTATCTACTGTGAGACATATTTTTACATAAAGAGAAATATCCAATTTAAAACGCACAAACTTTCATGTACACCAAGGATTTGCTGATAGAAGGTTTGAATCAATCTTTATTGAAACTGTTCATATAATTCAACTGCAGTTTTGTTAAATTGGCCTTTACTCCTGGTTCACTTCCATTCAGCCGGGTCTCTAATCATCCATGTCATCTGAACAGAAAGACAGAAAGAAATTACATTTGTGACAGTGATGTGCAGTGTGTTTAGGAGTTAATTCAGGACATTTGGTACTAACCACAATTATAAAGTCTGTTGATTTTTAGCTTGTCAATGTGGCTGAGAGATAAAGCCTGGCCCAGCTGGATGTTGTTGTTGTCCTTTGGAAGGATGGTTGCTTCCCCACGCTGGGAGTAGGCATATCTAAACATATACATAAATATGTATCAGCTTATAAATATATTTTAAAATAAAGGGGGTAAATTATAATATTTTGAGTGATTAACAGATCATTTTTTACTTACTTTCCAAAGTGCAGAATCGAGCCATAGTCATAGGGCAGATCCAGAGTGTCAGTCTTGAACTTCTCAAAGTTTCTCAACCGATCTGTTGGAAAAATGAATTTTCTGTTTTGAAAATCGGTGCAGAAATACAGTTAAAGCTTTCATTCCCTTTCCACAATGCCAACCCCTGCACACTTTAAAATTACCTCTTGAAATATTTGGCCACATGATGGTGACATAGTTGTCCCGATCTAAGCGGGACTGCTCGTGCACAAAGCCCAAGGTGTGCATGAATTCATGGGAAACCACTCCAACCTGGACGCAGTTAGGGATCTGGAGAGACACAGTCTGCCTTCCACCACGCGCACCAAGGTAGGACCAGCAACTGGATTAACACATAAGAGGACAGAAAAGTAACTTCAAGTGGTGAATTCACAGCTGGAGAGGAAACAAAACCTGAATACATTTTACAAAAGGAATTTTATGTAATCAAACTTTCCACGCTTCAGCTCTCACCCTGACTTTGGCTGGATGTCGATGTAGTCTCTCTGGTGAGTCCGTGGAACAAAACGCACACAGGTACCTTGCTCTATGTTGGCCATACCTGTCTTTATCAGCATTGTATCCATGTCATCTGTTCAGTTGTTTAACAGGGGCGAGTAATTCATACATCATTAAAAAGAAGACTGTAATCCATTGCATGTACTTATGCCTCGAACGCTAAAACAACATACTGTATTCAGGTGAGAGGTTATATGCAATGTAGACATGTCCATCCACTGATTTGGACCACAGGCAGCTCCGTGCAAAGCAGATTCTGGGGGGTGTTCCGGAGGAAACAGCAATATCTCCCTCTCTGAGGGTGGTGGCGCCATCGATGATTTGCGTAGCTGATGCAGAAATCAGATTAAAGTTTTTTAACAGCAAGTTGGGGAATCTGCAAAAGAAAACCCCTCAAGTAAAGTGTGTGCAACTTACCTTTAAGCTCGTTGGTTTTAATGATTTTATCCATTGCCGTTTCTTCATTGACCCCTCTCCATTCTTAAAAAAGAAAAAAACAATTTGTGAGGGAGTGTGCAGTTTTACGTCAGTCACAGTAATAATTTAAATTAAATCGAAGCTGAGTGCACCTTTGTAGCCAGCGGGACCCCACTTTTGGTTGAACAAAAATTTCTGCAGAAAGCACAGACAAATTTATTTACAGCTCTGTTCATGAATTCATTAAATTCAGCGGTCCCAAGCACATTTACCTGAGCTTGCACAGCTGAGAGACAAATAGAAACCATGCAGAGGAGTATAATCCGCTCCATCTTTACCAGTCAGGTATGCCTTCAGTGTTACCATTTGACATGCACTAACACCTAGCTTTATATGTGTTCCCACTGCTGTCCTTAGATAATACCCATAATTACCTCAAGTAAATAACAGGGCTGGTGTTAGCTGTTTGTGAGTGAGCCTAATCTCCAAATTAGTTTGATTCTTTCATAAACAACATCTGCAACAGTGGCATAATGTGAGGTCTCACTGTGTATAATAACAGCTTAAAATCAATGACTAGCTTTAAATGAAATGGTTTTAATGTCTGGCAGAAATTTGGTACAATTTTAGGCTTTAGGTGTGTACATGAACCAAGAGTGCTGTTTTCTTTCTACTGAAACTAAGCTTACCATCAGTTCACGTGCAATGCATGAACGCAGCTAATTTTAAATCATTACTAAGTTGTGCAAAATTTTTGTTGATAACGTAGAAGAAATAAAAACTCTGACGCCCGAACAGGGACTTGAACCCTGGACCCTCAGATTAAAAGTCTGATGCTCTACCGACTGAGCTATCCGGGCTCTGCTAACTCAGCCGGAAGCAGTATTTATAAAGAGGAAAAGCCGAGTTTCCATCCCAGTAGGAATTCTTCCACGTGAAAATACCAGCATGACCGCATTTTCTGGCCATACATTTCTAACCCAGGACGAAGTTTCTGCGGTAAGTCGACGCTGTTTTGTAAGCTAGCCTTCCTGCACATGACTAGCTACCTGGCAGCTACGTACACTGATGCTAAAGTTGCTAATTATCAAGTAAACAACAGAAGTATTAACAAACTAAGATGCCAGTTCGTTAACAGAGCTTTGACTCTTTGCCAGCAGGCTAGCTGTGAATTACGGCATGCAAACTTTGCAATTTGCAGGAGACGCAGGAGCAGGTTAATGAGCTGCGGCGTGCTATCGAAGAAACTAATCGTGAACTGGAGAAGGTCCAACAGAGAAGACTGCATACTGAAGAAGAGATAATTAAACGGTACACCACCCATTTACTTTAGTTTCCAATTAAATTGGGTGCCTGTCACGCTTAAAGTGTCCAAAAAACCTGACTCTCAACCCGTATAATGCTTCCTGTGATGTGATACCAGTTATCGTCGGTGGGTGCACTGAGGTCCACAACAGGCTGTTAGTGTAGATTAATCGACCAGTCTATTAGGTACACCTCATGTCTTGAACTGCTCCCTCATGCAATCTAATCTAATCGGCAAACTCGGTGCATTTGGGCATGTAATTCAAGTTTCAAGGTCAAGCTGAGCCGCAGAATGGGGAAGAGAGGTGATTTTGAAAATGGCACAGCTGTTGGTGAGGAAACTCCTGATCTACTGGGAATTTGCTCCTCAGCCATTTCTAGGGTTTGCAGAGAATGGTTAAGAAAAGAGAAAATCCACTGAGTTTTCTGGGTGAACATGTCTTGTCAAGGAAAATGGCCGGACTGTTTTAAGCTGACAGCAGTAATTAAAATGACCACTGATTACAGCCAAAGTATGCAGTAATACATCTCTGAATGCACAGTATGTTGAACTGGAAGTAGAATGGGCTACAGCAGCAGAAGACCACACTGGATCCCACTCCTGTCAGCTAAGAACAGGAAACTGAGACCACAGTTCACATGGGCTCATCAAGCGTTGCCTGGTCTGATGGGTCGCCATTTCTGCTGCTGTAAACAACATAAAAGCATGGATCCATTCTTCCTTCGATCAGTAAAAAACATTGTTTTCAGGTAGATGCTATCCAGACTTGCTCGGGGTGTTTTTTCCTTTTTTGTTTGTTTATTTATTTATTTTTTTTATAGTAATCAGTGACGTTTAGCTTTCCCAAGTCTTAACTTGGAGTGTTATCCAAACTATTTAACATCATTTCTTCCTCCAGGAATATTGTTGATGAACATAGAGACACATACAAAGATTTCCCTCATGTAGGTCTATTAGTGAACGACATTCATAAGCCAGCTGGCGTTAAAAAAAAAAAAATTAATTAGTTTGTCTGGAATAAAGATTTATCTCTTGTATTAATTTGAAATATAAACACACCTCGAACTTGAATTCCAATATAAGTTTTTCCAGTGAGGGACAGTAAAGGATATTTCTATTCTTAACTGATCACCTTCTGAAAGGTATAGTATTTTGTCCTTTAGTTAGGGTACAGTTAGTTAGGGTTTAGTTAGTTAGGGTTGGGTAATATTTCCACAGATGCTCTGGTTGTCAAAAGCAGTGGACAACTGTATGCTCATTCTGTTTTGGTTCCGCAATCGAGCCTTTCTGGGAGAGTTCAGACAGTGACCATCTAATTGCTAACAGTGTCCAGATCCCAAAGCCCTTACAGTGAACAATCAATAATTATTTCAAAATAATAAGTTAACGTAAAAAAAGAAAAAATTACCTACTGCCCATTTAGATTTAGTCAAACAGTTAATTATGCATAACCAGGTGTGATGTTTGCCTTTGTTTCTAAATGTGTAGCCCTTACATAATGTATTCTGCTGTCTTTCGCAGTACGAGAGAAACTGAACGGAGAGTGGATTTAATGATGGAAAAAAGCGAAATCGTTAATGCACTGCAACAACTGGGTCATCTGCTCCAAAGTGAGATGGATCTCTTTGAACAACTAAATAGCCAAAGCTCCCCAGACAGGTATTCCGAAGTGCTGTGGGCAAAACCGAAGCAGACGTGACATGTGCAAACCTACAATATATATTTTATATATTTCAGGAGTGAAAGGCTCAGTTTGCAGGACCAGAGTGAAAGCGCCAGCATTAAGGCAAACCAGCTTCTTGCTGAAATCCTGGAGGTGAAACAGCAGCTAGAAGAGGTTGAGGATCGTTATTCTGCGGGTATGGGGATTACTCACAGAATACGTACAGAATTTACTGTATACAGACATGGAGTGAAATGTGCTCTCTCTCTGTCAACAGGTCAAGCTTTGCTCCCTGGGCCAACCTACAAGTTGGAGAGAAATCACACGAAGCAGTGACTTACAAACACTGTTATTTTAATAAGTACAATAAAGTGTATATAAGTATTTTTAACAGCTAATAAAATATTCATTTTTTATCTTTTAAATGTATTTTATTGTTTCTTAAATAACAGTAAAGGGGATGATTCTGCAGTGAATATCTCCAAAGCTTCTCAGCTTCTCATTACTCGGGTGCTTCACATAGTCACAAATGGTCGACCTTGTCTATGCAGTGATTAAATAAGATGACAAATATTGCAAAATGTTTATGCTTATCTCAGTTACAGTATGGAGGAGATTATAATTTCTCATGTCTCATGAGATTTCAGTGATGACAGAATTGACACACTGTCAGCCATTTGCAATATTTTGCAAAACAAAACCTTTATTCCCTATTTTCCCCATTTCATCTAGTCTTCATTAAAACCCAAAGATATCATGTCTGGATGACATGTTTCTTTCTTCCATCATAATCTAGCAAATTGATGAGGGTGTGGTTGGGTCAGTTTGAACTGCTGTAATCCTGGATGCATTGACAGCTCAACTTTCTGACCCGTGACTGCAAACAAAATCTAAAAAAACTCAGATTTCCTACTTCATAACTAAGGTTTTGCAACCCCAAATTTTGCAGTTTACATAAATCCAGCAGGCAACTTGCATAGTAGATACAAAATCTTTCTGTTTTTCTTAATATGTAATACATTACTGTATGTTGTTGCTCACAGAAAATCAACAAGGCAATCTTGGAGGCTCGTTTCCATGACTGGGAAAAGTTTTTTCATCCATAGTTAATAAATTTAAGTTATTATCTCAAATTTGAGAATAACTTTAAAATTAAAGTTATTTTGTCAGACGTTCGCTTTGGTAACCCGAAATTTTGACTTATGGATCCAATTTCTTTTTCAGTGGCAGAAGCAAGCTTCCATGCAGTTACAAAACTGCAATGCTGGAAAAACTTTCACACTCTCCACATGCTCTCACTTATAGCAAACACATGTTCAATCCTAAGTTCCTTAGCTGGTTAAATGCACATGCTGATGACAGCTTCAGCAGCTGCAACCAGGCTGCCACAGCTGAGAGCAAGCTGCAAAATCATTCAACAGTCACGCTATATGTTCTTCAGGAAATGCTGTCTATAAAAAAACCAGACAGTGAAAGGAATTCTTTTCTTTTTTTTTTTTTGTACTGAGCAGGATTTTTGTTTTTGGTTCAGAAACAACGGCTGACTCTTTGGGCTCACAAACAGCTCTTTGTGTTGTTTACAGCAAGCTCTGGTTGGCCCTAATATCCAGATGTTGCAGCAGAATTTTGATTATCCTGTACAAACTATTTTTAGTTTACTGTTTTTAGCACACCTTGGTTGTAACCAGTCATTATTTGAGTTATCATTGCTTTGCTATTAGCTTGAATCAATTTGGCGTTCAATTTAACATCAGGTATCAGCAAGGCATTTTCTTACAGAAGACTGACGCTCACTGGATGGTTTTTGAAACGTATCTAGATGTAGTTGGTCTCATGTGATTGGCCGATTAATTACGATTATACATAGTCAATGATCGGTTCAAAATGTGTACCTAATAAAGTGTCTGTAAGCGCCTTTTACCATTAATCAGGCAGATTAACTCAACTAACTGTTTTATGTAATTTAGAGTCAACTTTGTTTGTTTTTTTATTCTTAAAACACAAACTAGCGTTTTAAGTTCCATCAGTACTTTTGTTTAAGTACTGGTGGGCTACGTTTGTAAACTATTAGTAATTATAAAGAAAACTTGTGTATAAACTGAATAAATAGTGTAATCTGTCATGTAAATGTCTGCAGTGATATATGCACGTTGCTGAAACGCGGTGAAAGCAGTTTGAAAGGAAAGATCGGCTAATTTACAACCTTTGGTCTTTGAACGCCACTCGCTGAAGCATTCATGACGCTCTTGGGCTTCCGTAGAAATGTCAGCGTAATCACATGTTACCCTAAGGTTGGCTCAGCTTTTTGTCAGTTCCTTTTATGGTAAGTCGTTTACTATTTTCCCAGTAGTTCATTGTAACTTTTAGTAGTTGTAATGTCCTTAAAGTCCCGTTTAAGGAAGTGGACAGAGTCGGTGTTTTAAATAGATTGTGGCTGAAC